CTCTGCATGGTGTTCCCACTGGACCTCATGAACAGCTCTGGCAGTACTTTTGTGATGACTGAAACCATAGATTCTTACAGGAACAGCTGGGCATTTCAGGGGCACAGGATATAATTGGGTCATGAGTTCTTTTCTCACATTACCTGGGCTTCTTTTTAATTATTACAGTATTAAATGCCTTACAGGGCCTTATCTAGGCAGTGTTGGAAGTGGCTAGTTACTGTGTCTGTCACTGACAAAGGGAAAGAGTAGAATAGATGTGCTAATGTCCACCATCCTTGGCTTAAGAGGACACCACTCAGCAGTCTGGGAGACATTTAACAAGGGGAATGTCCTTGAATTTCATCAGTGAGACAAGTAAAGACAGTGTCTAGGACCTCTGAAAGAATCCTGGTGCTTCCTCCAGTTGGACTACAGGACCAAAAGCAAGGACAGTGCTGAAGTGCCTAGTTACAGCTGGTGCCACAACAACGCCCTCTTCTTGTGAGGTATGGAAGATATATGCACCACCCTCTACCTTATGGGTCCCCAACAGGCTGTGTAGAGAGTCCTTAGTCACAGGTGTCCAGTGGGGCATCACTTCACTGCAAACATCACAAGGAAATGATTTGTTGTGCCCTCAGAAGGAACCTGTTTCAGAGAAAAGTCCCTAATTCTCCCTGTTGCTACAGAGCAAAGGAAAAAGGGACTCCACGGGACACAGCGGCAATGACATCCTGTCTTGAGGGAATATGAAGGTAACCCTGGACATAAAGATGTGGGTAGGAAAGAGGGTGAAAGGTGGCCTGGGCGTCTTCTCTAAAGAGCTCATATTCTAGATTTGAAGTAGAACAGACACTAATGCAAGAAACAGTGTATTCCTGCTGAACCTTGGCATGCTAAGGATCTATGGCCATCTATATGAGACATCTATAGACGTCATCCTGTGGCCTGAAAGATAGACACACAGTCCAAGTGGGTGTAGCAACCAGGACAGTGGACACAAAGCAACAGGACCACTGCAAATTGCAGACAAGGAGCCTAAGGCTCTCCTGCGCCCCTCTCCCCCTCCCTCTGCTTGTGAGAGTCTCTGGGCTGGCTGGACCTGCCCCCAAGACAACCAGCAGAGGGCAGCACGAGGTCATTGCTGACTAAGCTAGGGATTTCTAGGTTGCCTGGGAAAGTAGACTATGTCCATAGCCAACTTTCAAAATGAGCATTACTGCTTATCTGAAATCCAGTGTGGCCCCAAGTTAATCTTTGGAGATGAATTGGATCTCACTTAGGGGTGAACTCAGATTAATTCACTCCTCTGTTCATTCATGAACTCATTCGTCAGCCTTTAATTGAGCTCCTACCCTTTTCTGGACACTAGGTCTGCCGAGGTAAGTGGTGTAGCTTTGGAAAACTCACAGAGGCAGGGCTACTGCTAGTGTTGCATTATTTACAAGTAAATGTTGTCGTAATTGCTTCACTAATAACAGTTTGTCTGTTCCCAGTGACAATCTTCTGAGGTGGGCACAAGTGTTATCCTAGCCTTACCAAAAAGAGCACCAAAGCTCAGAGACTGTACGTGACCCGACGCAGGTCACACAGCTACAACACAGTGGAGTCAGACTTTGAACCCAGGCAGTCTGGCATGGAAATGCTTACTCCTAATGACATTGTCACACTGTTACAACTTAAACCAAATAAACGCCAGAACTGATACCAAATATCTACAGTTGTTGAGAGGAAAATAAAAATAAGAGGGAAAAGACCTTAAGGCTGTGGTTGGGGCCACCTTAGCTTCACTGGTCAGATGAGCTAGATGAAGGCACTATCTAAGATTTTCACAAGATTATACTAGTGTCTGGCCAGTCACTGCTGATTCCACGGCTTCCTAGACACACTTACAGCCATTTACAGACAGTTTGTATATGACCCACATGCATACTCTTCACCCAGAGCCTCTGGAACATTCCAAAGAGAAGGGTAGACAGAGAGAGGTGTGGACATGGATGGAAGAGCGCTGGGATGAATTGCCAGCAACAGGGTGCAGGGAGCTTCAAGCTTTGGGTCTGTTGGTTGTCATACAGACACTCAACACACAATTACATGAGCACATAAAGAAGTACAACAGCCTGAACCCTGGTCACACAAGTGCCTGCATGAGGCCTCATGAACCAAGCACCTCCCATATTCTGACAGCTCATCATAGCTGTTCCAGTCTTAGCCCTATTCTGTAAAGTCACAGGATGTGGTAAGAGCTTGGGATGTGTAGGAATGGGTTTGGTTGGGGCAGCAGCTGGTTGTAGGCTGGGGTGGGTTGGGAGAGAATGTTGATGGACAGATACTATAAGTAAAACTGAACCCCCTTTGCATCATGAGGGACCTCCAAAGAACGAAGAAATCCTGCCTCCTGACATGGATGAGAGGTGTATACAAGCCACCAGAGTGACTGTTAGTTCTTGGGTTGGTATTTCCAAACTTTGCCAAACATCTAGATTACTTGAGAACCTCACAAAGGCAAGAGACTTTGGAGATTTTTAAACAGGGCCCAGAACAGGACCAGAATTCTCAGACAATGTCACAATGCTGATCAATTCTGCCAGACACTGCTCTGAAGAGTCACACGAAGTGCATGGGCTACCAGAACAAGACAGGCTAGACCATATGCTGCCAGTGGCTAACCTAGTCCAAGGTTTGTGTTTAGTTTGTAAATGCCTACCTGAATTCTATTTCTTTTAAACGCAGCAATTGTATCTTCCAGGACTAGACTGGTTCTGACTTAGGGACCTTCTCCCTACACAGGTCATTGCTTCCCAGTTGGTCTCTTGTCGGGTTCTCCTCTCATTTTCCCAGCAATCCATCAACCACTCAGGGTTACCAGGGTAACGTGCTTGATAAAACCCACTTCCTGGCATCTCTAGCCTGGGCCTCAGATGACAACAGTTCCTTTCCTGGCTAATGGTGTGTGTGTGGAAAAAACCCAAATTCCTGGTAATTACCAAAGTACAGATCGTTTACATAACAGTGAGCAAACAGCCTGTGGGTCAGAGTCTGTACAGGTCAAGCTCATGGCCCAGGCCCTGGTACTGGTTGACCTCTGACAGCAACAGAGAAAGGAGCTTTCCTGGACCCAGACAGGAAGAAGGTTATCTCGTGTGAGTGACGAGCCTTCAGCTGGAACTTTATGTCCCCATCTCTGGCTGGAACACAGTTGAAAGTGTCAGCGGCAGAGATGAGGGTCTCCAGAGAAAGACTGTCCTGCTGAACAGGCTCTTCAGTTCTGGGATGCAGAATGTGGGCTGGAACCCAGACCTTGAGTATCCCAATCTTTTAGTACCTGCTTCCCCTTTGTTACATGGCAAACCATGTCCCCAGTGGCTCTATTTGTATTTCTACAGAAGGAAACTGACTCACAGACATGAATTTAAGCCCCAAGTCCTCATTTCCCAGGTAATACACACTTATAATTCTAACTTATCCTGTATAGGTGCTTCTTAAGCAGTCCCCAACGCCTGTGGTTAAGCATCTGGGTTTGAAATGAAGCAGCAAATCATTCTGTTCTACATCACCAGTCCTTGGGGTCTGAAGAAATTTCAGTAATGTGACAGTTTAGGTGTGCTAGAAACCAAGGCACATGGTCCTGCCACCTGTACTCTGCTGGCCCTGGTGCCTTCCGTAGGTCCCAACCTAGTTTCCATAGCTGCTGGGAAGGAACACATCCTGACATTGACTGCTGAGCAGCCAACTTATCCATCCATTTGTGAATGTTTGCTGCATCCATTGAACAAACATTGGTCAACCACCAAGCACTTAATGACTAAAGAGTGCTTTTCTTGGTAGTTCAGAAACCAAGAAAAATGAAATAGAAATGGACATGAACAAAGACTTCTCACTAAGTGAGAATGACTCTTAGCTCATTTATGAAATGTTTTCTGATCTCACTTGTGAATGACAAGCAGCAAGAGCCAGCACTCCCCTTCCTCTGGCTCACAGTACTTTGCTATTGAATCTCAGCTCCACCTACCCTTAGACAGCGGGAAAGCAAAAATGCCATTGTCACACTGGATAGATCAAAACTTTGGGCTACTCTTGAAGTAGGTCCAGTGGTTGGCTCGTATCATTTGACCCTTAGGGCAAGAAGCAAACCATAGGGTCTTTCCTCTCTGTGTACTGATAATGGGCCTACCGATCCATGACGAGAAGGTGTAGCAGTGAAGGAAAGGGATGCTGACAAGTGGGGACTGACATTGATGAGATGGGCACCCCTTGAATGACCATGCCTCCTTCCATGTTGCTGGCACACAATATCAAACCTGTCTCATACACTGATGTGGGGAGAACGGCTGCTGTTCACTCTCTGGGTGCACAGTGAGTAAAGAGAGGACACAGCTACTCGGCAGGGTGTTTTTAGGACTGACAGTGGTTACTCACACAGGATATTTCCCTTCATTATGGTCAGGTAGACAAAGGGCGCCTAAAGCAGTACATGAACCCTAAAAGCCACAATCCTGTCACAGAGAGGACCTAGTTAGCCTATACCGGGGGTATAGTGAGTATCCAAAAGTGTTAGCTCTTTTCCGCTGTCCACCAAATAAAGCTCCCCGTGAAGGAACACACAAGAAGCAAGAATGCCTTGTAGACTGAGGGTGGCTTCAAATACTCAAGTTTGGCACCACTTAGTGACAACTCATGGAGAAAAGGAATCGGATGTTTTGACGGCTGAGATCAGCTGCCACTGTGGCACAGGTATGGTCCACCTTTAATCCTTCAGTGCAAAAGGAGGGGATTTACGGTAGCTTTCCGCAGTTGACTCTGAGTCAATGCTGTGCCCCTAGCAAAACAGGTGTGACTTCTGCCCTGTGCTTGACCAGACACTGGTACCTCCCTCATGTCCTCATGCCACAGCCAAATACATTCACTCTCCTCAAAAGAATCAGCTAACACTAAGCTTGAGAAACCAGTACTGAATTTTCTTTGGAAGCAACTGAGAGTTCAGAGAGGAGCCAGAGAAGCAGGAGGCACTGGCTTCCTCAGGCCGGGAACTCGCAGACAGCGATGAAGGAAGACTGGCAGGAAATGTCATTCCAGATGCCACTCTCTAACATAATGACACAGTCCTCCCCCGAGCCGTGGTCATTGGGCTCATTCTGTTTCCAGTTGCTGTAGGTGAGTTTCCCCCCTGTCACGTACATGAATTGGCCTTCAGTCACCTCATCTGTGATGCCTATGAAGGCGTTGCCTTTGGCCACTTCTTGGATGGCCTTGTTCTCCTCAGCATTCCTGGGAATAGCCACAGTGCCTCGGAGCCCGGCACACAGAGCCTTCACTTTGGAAAAGGGCATAGTTTCACGGTTGGTCACGAAGAACTTCTTCCCAGACTTTTTGCCCATTGAGAAGGCATGCACTGCAATCAGAGTAGATGAGGCTTACTCAGTGTGGGGCCCAGTCAGGACCTGTTGAAAAGGTCTTCTGAGAATTCAGGACTCAAGAAAGAAGTCTCAGGTCCAATGACCCTAGACCAGAACCTAGGAAGAAGGTTGACCAGGAACAGCTACAGAGCCAGGGAAGGAGTCCACAACGCTCTATAACAGCCCGACCCTCCTGGGACAGCCCACCGTTGACATCAACGTCAAAGCCTGCAGCAGCACAGGTGAACACAGGGTGGCACATGTGGGCTCCACCACCCCATTTGGGCACCAGAATAAGAGAAAGGTATAATTTTACCAAGTAAAAACAGTGGTTGGGGAGCAAACTGCAAAGATATTGGAGAAAACAGACATCCACCCTGCCCTTTCTTGCTGCTGTCTGTGAGCTGTATGATATGGAGTGAGTTGTTATACTTCCGGAAGTATAATAGCTTTTAAAAATAGTGTTTCTCTCTCTCTCCCTCTCCCTCTCTCCCTCTCCCTCTCTCTCTCTCTCTCTCTCTCTCTCTCTCTCTCTCTCTCTCTCTCTCTCTCTCTCTCTCTCTCTCTCTATCTCGTGTGTGTGTGTGTGTGTGTGTGTGTGTGTGTGTGTGTGTGTGTGCATGCCACAGTGCTCATGTGAAGGTCAGAGGACAACCTTCAGGAGTTGGTTCTCTTCTCCCATACCAGGTTTTGGGGATTGAATTCAAATCACCAGGCTTGTGTGGCACGTGCTTCTACCCGCTGAGCAATCTCCCCAGTCCCAAGACAAGTATAATACCGTAACCTGAGTTGGTAAAGAAATTGAATGGAATATTACAAGAAAGAGCCATGCCTGCACAGACCTGTGGTAAAGTAAGTGTTCAGAAGTATGACGTGTCTGTCACTCTCCTCCCCAACTCTAGATCCCTCTGTAGGAAAACTTGAGTGTGAGAACACTGTCGGGGGATGAGGGAAAACTTACACTTCTTGGTGTGCTCCAGTTCTGATTTCAGGGTCCTCATCTCTGCCTCCAAATTCAGCAGCTTTGCTTCAATGGCTACAAGAACATCAGGAAAAGGTTGCTTAGTGACGAGACTGTAACCTGGAGACTAAGACACTGGTGGAGTCATAAAAGCTCACAGCCTGGACAGAAAACTCAGCAGGCAAAGTAACTGCCATGGAAATACAAGGACCTGTTTGATTCCCAGAACCTACATAAGAGCTAGACATGTAATCCCAGTGCTGGATGAGCACAGGCAGGTACAGACAGGTGGATCTCTGGGGCTTGCTGTCCAGCTAGCCTGGCCTACTTGTTAGGTTCCAGGCCTGTGAGAAGACCTTGCCTCAAAAATAAAATAAAAATAAAAGAGAGAGAGAGAGAGAGAGAGAGAGAGAGAGAGAGAGAGAGAGAGAGAAGAAAAGAAACAGAAAGGAAGAATTCTATCTTAAGAACAATACCTGAATTTGAGCTCTGGATTACACACACACACACACACACACACACACACACACACGTATACTTCTCACGTGTACTTGCACACACATGAATATGTGTGTATATGCACAAATGCTAAGGCTCACTAAAAAGTAAGCTTATGAAAGCTAAAGAAGCAAATGGGAAAAACAGCATTGCTGCTTTCCCAGATGTAAGTTAGTTGCCCTAATGACCTGTTAATGTAGCTCTCCTCTTTTTTTTTTTTTTTTTTTTTTTTTTTTTTTGAGACAGGGTTTCTCTGTGTAGTTTTGGTGCCTGTCCTGGAACTCACTTTGTAGACCAGGCTGTCCTCGAACTCACAGAGATCCTCCTGTCTCTGCCTCCCAAGTGCTGGGATTAAAGGCATGCACCACCACTGCCCAGCTTCCTCCTTTTTTTTTAATGGAGTGCATTTTTTAAATTAGTTGTAAGATACTAATTTCTAAAACACGGTCATTAGTCTGTGATATTTTTTTTTTGTGATTCTTTTTCACTTCTCACTACTTCTCTCTCTGTTGTTTGTATGTATGTGTTCATGTGTAGATGCACATGTGTGTGTTGGTATGTGCATGTATATTTGTAGAGGCCAGAGATCAACCCAGGATGTCATTCCTCAGGAGCTATCTTTCTTGGAGACAAGCTCTCTAGTTGGTCTGGAGTATGCCGAGTAGGCTAGACTACCTGGCCAGAAAGCCCCAGGGATGCATCTATCTCTGCCTCCCCAGCACTGGGATTACCAATGTGTGCCACGATGAGTGAATTATTTTGTTGTTTTGTTTTTAATGTGGGTGCTGGGGGCTGAATTTACATTCTCATGCTTATGCATCCAGCATTTTACCAACTGTGGCATTTCCCTAGCCTTCAGGTAAACTCTTTAATACGTTTAATTCTTGTGACAGACTGATGGACAAATATTAACAGAGGGCTGTCAGTTTTCTTTTTGTCTTTACCAAATTGCTCTGGTTGACTCTGAAGCAGTTGCTGTGGCATTCCCAATTACTCAGGGGATCAACGAGACAGACCACTTCCATGCAACTCTTCTGACAGTAGACATGGGGGAGGTGCACGTTTCCTCCCACATAGCCTACAGAACACACCGGACTTTCATCTGAGAAAAAGCTAACCCAACGTCCTAAGGAGAAGTGATGAAGGAATGACCCTGGAGGGTACTTGGTACCAATGAGAATTTCTGCAGGACCCAAGCGACACTGAGTGAGGGAGCAGCATTGAGCATCTCCTGGTGAGGCATCAGGAACAGAAGCACCTCCCACATTACCTTCTGCTCCTAGACCCCTATCAAGCTAGTCACACTGGAGTATTCTCCTACCTGCACTGTGTCCAGGATCCCCTTTTTGGCCTTTTGGTCCTGAAATTCCAGGAGCTCCTATATTTCCTGGAGGCCCCACTTTCCCTGGAGGGCCCTGCAAGCCCCTGAGCCCTTGACCTGTTGGGAGATAAAGGTAGCATGACCTGGTGACTGTTATTCATTCTCTCTCCTCAGATGTTCGACATTTGATTCATATCAACTCCAGGAAATGGACAGAGAGCTAGTTATTGGTTACTCAGAGTAGACAGATCCTCCTGCCTCCCAGGAAGTCAACCCCCTCTTACAGACCCCCATATGAAAGTGTGAGACTCAAGAGAACTTTTAAGTTGTTGATTGGGAGTCAGTCATACTGTAAAGATATTGTTATAAAGAGAAGAACACTTGTCACAATAAAAGCCAAGTCTCCCCAAGACTCTGAGCTTCATCCCTGGGGACACAGAACAAGCCCCCACTGGAGGTAAAGGTGTAGAAAGCCGGTGTACAGTGTTTCATACCTGGTTCTCCCTTCTCCCCTTTGGGTCCATCTCTCCCATCTCTGCCACAGGCTATTACAGAGCAAGACTTCAGGGCATCCTCACAGGTTTGTGACTTTGATGAGGCTATGGCCACCACACACAGGAGAAGGACAGGGAGCGATGGAAGCAGGAGCATGGTCCTTACCTCAGAGAGGAGAAAGTCAGTGAGACGAACATTTGGTTCATGGTGCTTGTTCATAGTTACGGCACCCTGCACCCTGGGCTGAGGACAGCAGATATGAGATATATCATATCCTCTGGCTCTGGTCTACTGAAGGTAGATCACACCTGAGGCTACTGAATCAAAAGTATAAGTCAGGTCAGGATTAAAACCAAGAAAGATGCAAGAGGAAGGGGGCTTGTTCTCCCAAGAGGCCCAGAGTCCCTGTGTTGAGGTGAGGCACACTTCACCCTGAGGCTCTATAGATCAAAAATTATAAACCAGCCATGCTTGTGGTGGGCTGACAGAAATGGAGAATGCCCAGCACCCAAGAGACCCCAGATCTATGTTTCTTGTCTCCCCTTCTATTTCACAGGAAGCCCAGTCCCCCACTTTCCCCCTTCCTATGGATCCTCAAACTAGACTGTAGAGAAGGTACCTAAGGGCCCAGAATGTCTGTTTCTCAGCCAGATGTCACTTATATTTCAAATAAAAATGCCTACTTTACATGCTTAGACCTCACCCACTCTCAAATGTGTGGTTATTTTCCCAACATCTAGTTGGCATCATGTACAAAGTCTCTGTTTTGTGACAGGCATTTGCTGGAGATGGACCACGCTCAAACTGGAGCCTTCTCCAGTCATGGATCCCTTCCGCAGGAGACTTCTCTTGCTTGAGATCCCACCAGAAGGCCATTTCTGCTAGGGGAAGTTCAGGCTCCTGCAATGCCTACTCACACAGGCCTGGGTCTCCCAGCAGAACTCTCTGTGCTGTCCAGGTCCTGCTCTGAGCCACTGGCCTCTCAGGGCTGTTCCTCTGTTTTGTCCCAGCCTCTAATCCCAATGTCCTGGCTGAACAACTATGGCACCTGCCCTTGCTTAACCTGCTCTGTCGCTTCCCTCAACTTTTGCATTCTCCAGCACACACCAAGAGGTGACCAGTGTGACAACATCTCCCATGATCACATCCTCCTCCATCTTTCCCCTTTCTAGATTTTGTACTTATTTTTAAAAGTCCTCTGATCACATTGGAGACCCCCCATGGTCACACGTGGGTTGTACATGTGGGTTGTACACATGGGTTGTACACGTGGGTTGTACACGTGGTTGTACACATGGTACCCCACCACTCTTTCCACTTCTATTGTTCCTTTAGTTTGCGTATGGTCATGGAGATCTAGGAAGGGCACAGAGAGCCCAGATCAGAGAGAGAGATGGGCCTGCTGACCCCACTAGACCCTTGTCTGGACCTTACAAGGTCCAAGCTGAGAGACCAGACTCCAAACCCAGGGCCACACCACCTTCATCCTGAAATGACTTACCAGCGGTTTCTTTAGAGCGAAGGGCAGTGGAAGGGAAACTGACTCTCCAGTCCAACTTCTGGAAGCTGCCTCCTCAGTGCTAAGGCCTGTTAGCCTGGTGACCAGGGACTAAGCTGGACTAGCCTTCAACCCCAGATTAATGAGCAACTATCCTTGGAGATGTTGTAACTGGGTAAGCTGTCCAGAGCTGCTGCTGCTAGTATCTCAGTTCAGTGCTGTGTAGCTATCTGTCTTAATACTCTAAAATCTTCCTACCACTGTGCTTCCTCCCAGATCTCCATCCATACAGCTGAGACACTCTGATCCTCTAGAACCATGGGCTCTTGACACAGATTCATCAAGATATTCTTTCCGTAAGAAACACTCATAAACGTACTAGACAAACATTCTCAGTCAGGTGCACACAGGTATGGATGGATGTGCACAGGAGCCCAAACTCTTGTCAGTTGCTGTGACTAGTTTACCCCTCTGTTTATTCTTCAGTTATTGTAGGACTAGATGAGGTCCTGAGTCACCTCCCTTCTCCTGCTTCATTCAGAGCATGTATTAAATGTCTCCTTCAGGCATGTTCCAGACCTAGGCACAAGAGGAAAGGAATAAGGTTTTTAAAGATTTATTTTTACTTTTACAAAGTATGGATTCTTTGCCTGCATGTATGTATATACACCTGTGCATGACTGGTCCTGGGGAGGCCAGGAGAGGGCGTCAGATAACTTGAAAGTGGAGTTACAGACAATTGTGAGCTACTGCATGGGCACTAGAAACCAAACCTAAGTCCTCTGCAGGAGCAGCAAGTGAGCCATCTCTCCAGCCACATGAGAAGAAATGTGTGTAGATAATAAAGTCAAAGCTGAATGTGGCCAGCAACACAGCTGTCCACTCTGCCCAGGCATTCCTTCTATCTTTAAGTGTTGGTTGCTATTTGGATTTCAGCTGAGATAGCTCAGGATAAGGGGTTTTCTTAACCACTCAATTTTAAGTAGCTTCTATGTTGATAAATTTTTATTCTCTGATTTAATTGTATGCCTATTATTTGTCCATATGTGAAATTGTTTATTTGGTTGCCTATTTATTGACCACCCCATATCTCTGTTGTTGTTGTTATTGCTATTCGTTTGTTTGCTTATTTGTTTTTGAGACAGGGTCTCTATATAGTCCTGGCTATACTAGAGTTTACTGTGCAGACCAGGCTTGCCTTGAACTCTCTGAGATCATCTTCTCTCTGCCCACCCAGTGCCTTTTAAATGATCATGAACGAATTGGAGTTTCGTTCTCTTGATGCTGTGTTCCTCAGAAGAAAGGACCAACCTCTCCCTGAGGCACGGGGCAGAAGGCAAACGTTTTTACAGCACTGTCGATGATCTTAAGGTTATAAGCACCACCTTTAATGTTTGTTTTTATTTTGAATAAGCTAAGACATTGGGGAGTAGGATGACTTGATTCCCTACTTGGCAGACCTTCCCCTCCTGAGGTTGTTCCCTAAGCCAAGGACTATAAGACAAATGCCCAGAAGAACTTCCATGACACCAGCTTCTTTGAACACTATACTTGGGCAAGTGACATTGCAACCACAGCTGACTGCTGCTGAACCACAGCTCTGGCTCCCAAGGCATGGTCTACGGCTGCTTCAAATGGCTTACAGTGGCCCTTTTTGCTATAAATCTTGGTGATACCCTATAACCAATTCTACTCAGGCTAGATGGGGACCCCTCTCCATGATGACCCAGGAGAAGGCCTGTGCTAATGCAAATAGTCTTTCATTTATATTAAGGACCATTGTGTTGGAATAAATGTAACCCCTTATCTGTATGAGGGATTGTGCTGATTGCTGCAAACCACATGCTTCATTTGTGTGAAGAACTGTTGTTGTGGTCTGGAGAGATGGCTCAGTGGTTAAGAGCACTGGCTGCTCTTCCACAGGTCCTGAGTTCAATTCCCAGCAACCACATGGTAGGTCCCAACCATCTGTAATGGGATCTGATGCCCTCTTCTGTTATGCATGAAGACAGGTCACTCATATACATAAAATAAATAAATTTAAAAAAAAAAAAGAACTGCTGTGTTGGTACAAACACACCATTTTGACCATTTAAGCCCAATGTGGGAGCCAACTGGAAAGCACTCTCCTTCGTTGCTTCCCCAATAAAGGCTTTAATCCAATGTTCTTTTCTTGCCTACTCTTAATTTTTGTCATGCATTACTACAGTGTGCTGAGCTGGGAACACAAAAGCTGAAGGTGAGGATGCGGATGAAGGAAGCAGCAGCTGCCAATATTGGCAGCAACGCTGTGCTAGCCGCGAGAGTGATGAGAGGCAACGGAAGCCATCCAGAGAGGGGCTAGGGCAGAGAGGACTGGGAGCAGAGACAACTAGGTCTGTGAAGAGCTGCAGATGAGCAGCTGGAGGCCCTGGTCATTGGGAGGGTATCAATGAATGACTAGGCCTTCATGGCCAAGGGTCTCAGACACTCTAGATCTAAGAACTGTAACACCAGCTGCTGTCAAGGGCTCAGGGTCCTGATGTACTTGGCCTGTATGTTGTTATAGGGCCTGTATGAGCACTGTAATATGAAAAGATACAACCTACTGCTGCCTGCTGCTACCTGCTGTAGCCACTCAATGCTGCTAGAAGCCATGAATTGACAATAGCCGGTAAGTGCCGGGGCCCCTGATGGTTAAAACCCAGAGCGATAAGCCTCCCATCTAAGTGCCCACTAAGTCTCTTGCTTCTAGAGCCTACAGCAACAGGCTCCTGCCCTTCAGGGTTTGAAGTCATAAGGCTCTAGTCTGCCAATCTATATGCTAGTTCTTAAGTGCTAAGGATTGAGAATTGTCAGCACTGAAAGGGCTTTATCCTGTCTGCCCACAGTTCCCACCCAGGTAGAATAAGAGGACCCCAGCCAGCTTATTGGTAACCTGCCTACCTGGCAAAGTTCCCCCTAACTGTCAATGCTCAAGAAAGATCTGTGAAACAGATGAACCCTCAGCAGCATGTCCTTGGATCAGCCCTTGTGGCTTCACTGGCAGAGCTGACATCTGGGCTCACTTCACCAGTGTTGATACTTCTTTTGTGCAGGAATTACATACAGTTCACTTGTTGTCCCCAGAGTATAACCCAGGCCTGGGCACCTAAGAAGGACCCAGTAAGGTAAAAAGCTTGGCAGCTAACAGACTAGGCCGAGGCTCCTTAAGCTTGGGTTTCTAGAGTATCCAGTGCTTGCAGTCAGAGGCTGATCAGGTGGCCTGAGCCCCTGACATGACCTTTCATGTCTTACTTTCTCCAAGCTCACAGACACTCATTGAAATCTTTTATCTTACCAAACAACCTGAGAGGTTTGTTTTCCCCAGAACAGAGTGGGCCCAGGTTACTTCCCATGATTCTATGGTTGGTATTTGGCTACTCAAGGGCCATCAGTCCATGTTTACTCAAGACACCACCATGTCCCCTCTCTAATCTTATTAGAAGGAGCCTGCCAGGTATCTAGAAGAGCCTCCATTGTTAAGAAGACACCTTTCAGGGCTGTGTTGTTTTTGTTTTTGTTTTTTTACTGTTGGTAAAACTTCTGGGCCCATAGGCTGAGAAAGCAACTGGCATTTACTGAATACAGCAAGTGAGATCACTCCCAAAAGTGAGGGTTTGAAACTTAAAGGTTTACA